TCAGTATGCAAAGAGGGTGGGGGACACGGCAAGATACAGGGTTTTACTAGCTGTTACTATTTTTAGATTTTGTTTTCTAGCTGCCCTGCTCTGACACAGTCCTCCTGAGAGCAGAGGTCTGTTTGGTGTGGTTTAGGTAGGGTGAATAGGGTGCCAACCCTTCATCTTTCTCTTGTACTGGCCCAGGAAGTTGATTTTGGTGAGGAAATTGAAATGGAGTGCTAGAGCAACGAGGAGTCCTCTGGCACCTAAAAGAATAATAGATCTGACTTAAAGGTGCCACGGGATCCATTTTTGCAGATATAGGCTAACATGGCTACCCCTCTGAGACCTGCGTGCTAGAGGGAAGCTAACTGACAGTCACAATGGGAAGGCAATCATTACATTAATACACTTTGACCTTTACCAAAAGGGCGGTGTTCTCGTTTGTATGCATATTTTTGGTCTATCCATTGACTTCCCTTAGCTCTTTGAGCTCTGAAGGGAGCATACTCCCAGAAGTGCCTGGTCCAAATGTTCCCAGCCAAGATTTTCAAGAGTAACTGATTTTGAGTACCTAATTTGAGACACCTTAAATTTTCAGAAGGCGCTGAGCACCTGACCTCTGGAAATCAGACTCCTTTAAGGAGTTGGGAACTGTGTTCCCTCTAATTTTTCCACCAGTGTGCAGGATACATTTTATTTGGTGCACTGAGCCATATGTGGATGTGCACCATCAGCAAAAACACAAGCTGCTGATTGTGGGCATTCTGCTAATCACTGGGTGGCATTTCAATCTCTCCTGGGTGGCCACCCAGGTGCTCAGCTTATAGAGAACACAAAATACAGGGACTAAAAAATGCTCGTCCCCTCTAAAAATCTGTGCCCCTATCGCTGACCCCACCTCCAACCCTGATTCCTAAGCACAAGTCACAACTCCAACTCCCTACCGGACACACTTGACATTACATCACAATCTACATTACATCTTATTTAGAAAATACCGGACATTTCTGTTTTCTCATTTATATTTTCTCAATTTGTTTCCCGAACAGAAAGCTCAAATATTGGACTGTCCGGTTCAAAACTGGACATCTGGCAACCCTATGCCCCCATTTGTGTGACTTGTTCCTTTAGGTTGTAAATTCTTTGGATCGAGGATGGTATATTATTGCGTGTTTGTACAGTGCCTCGCACAGTAGGATTGTGTGCTTATTTGAGATCTCAAGTCTACAGTAATACAAGCCCTTAGTGCTAAATGGCCTTCATTATCAGGGAATATTGTTTAAAATTGTTTTTTATCCCTACAGTTATTGTCCTGTAGCATAGCTAGAAGTGTGGTCAGACTGATACCTGCTAACAGTATAGCTACTGGTGAACCATGCACTTCTCAGATAATAGATATTTTTCTTGGAGGAAAAGAACTATTTAAATGTCAGTGGGAATAGAGCTGTGCAAATAACCAGTTCTTGGTTTGTGGCTGAACTGGGGTAGGGGAGGAGTTTCAGACCTAACATGAACATTTTTTGTTTGGGGTCAAAGAAATGTTTCATTTGGTTATGAAGTTTCTACACTTTTTTGATTACATGGAAGTAAAATTCAAAACCAGAAGTTGTTTGGAATTTAAAAAAATCAAAACATTGAATTTAGAATGTCATAGAAAAATGTTTCATATTTTTCAGAATTTTTATGACTGTAACAATTTGGCAAATTTGCCACAAATTCACCAGAAGGCTTTGGCTGTCCACATATGCGGTTGCAGTGAGAAAATTTTCAGGGAAATTTGTGCTTAAAGGTGGGAAGGTGCAAGTTGCTTTATTTTGTGCAACCTGTCTCTAGCCTGGTAAGAGTGCAAACCGATAAGTGCCTTCTGATTAAACACTGATTTGGGAAAGTTATTTTTTAATAAGTACTTTGGTTACCACCCTAAGGTTCACTCCCCATTGCTAAACAGTGTTCTCTGAGCTATTAATGAACCACTCTTCCTGCCTCGATTCCTAAACACAGGCAAACAAAGGGTGCATTTATTATAAATCTTTAGTTGCTTTCTATTTTATTGTCATAATTGATGTCTGTGTGATTCATGCACAATAGTTGATTCGGCGGGCCAGCTTATCAAACAATGTCTTCTCGGCAAAAAATTGTGAGAGTTTGGGGTACAGGGCGGACCTGCTACAGAGAGGTAAAAAATAAATGTGCCTTGTCTCCATTAGGATTCTAGAGCAAGGTCGCTAACTTGATGGAAAAATGACCTTTTTTGACAGTGAAGACATAGCCTGCAGCTATGAGTGTATACACCAGTCCTGCACTTGTGTTTGCTGATGTAAATAGGCATGCAAATGCTGCATTCATTTACATCAGTAGCTATCAAAGTGTGGTCTGTGAACCACTAGTGGTCCATGACAGTCTTACTGGTGGGCCATGGGGTAGGGGCTCCCCTTCCCCGCAGCAGGGGGTCCACGCAGGCGCTTCAGCCCCACAGAACCCTACCCCTTGTAGGTTGGCTTCCCCGCTGAAGGAGGGAGCCCTGAGCCATGCAAGCTGGATCCAGCTCACCAGAGGAGGAAGCAGCTCTACATGCTGTTGCTTCCTTCTCCTGCAGCTGGGGAAATGGCAGAGCAGGAAACAGCTCACCAGGAAGTTTTTCCCCGCTGCTCCCATTGGCTGGAATCCCAGCCCAAACCCCCCCCCCCCTACCTTCCACCCAGACCCCCCGCCCTCAGCCTGCTCCTGCACTCAACCTCCCACCCGAATTCTCCCCCCCACCCCCAGCTTGCACCCATTTTGGCATCATGGGTGGTTGATTGGTGGTCTGCAGAAAGGTTTTGTTGAGCAGGGTGGGCTAAAGGCCACCAGGGCCGGTGGGAACCTATGGGGGTGGCAGGGCCAACTGGTCTGGTGGCCCCAGACCCCCCGCCCTCAGCCTGCTCCTGCACTCAACCTCCCACCCGAATTCTCCCCCCCACCCCCAGCTTGCACCCATTTTGGCATCATGGGTGGTTGATTGGTGGTCTGCAGAAAGGTTTTGTTGAGCAGGGTGGGCTAAAGGCCACCAGGGCCGGTGGGAACCTATGGGGGTGGCAGGGCCAACTGGTCTGGTGGCAGGACCCTACAGCTGTGGTGGGTCTTGGATTAAATGGTTCATGGGGTAAGTGCTGTCGTTTTCACATCCCTCATGAAAGGGATGGTCCTAGGAAAAGGGCAACAAGAAGTCAGCAAAATAGGCTGGTATTGAGTTAAAGTCTATGCAATAATTTAAATATCTTGAATCAGGGTTAAGGCATGATGGAAATGGGGCTCGGATGTTTGGAGCTGCATGAAGAACACTTGGTGTAAACAGAGCAAGTTGACCAGCATTCTTTGCAATAAGAATAAGCAAAGTGTAGAAGATCATAATTAGGCCAGACGCAATGTATGAGTCGTAATGACCTCCAATGAGGAAGAGAGTACAACATTTACTTCACAGTGCCAAAATGAGAATGCTAAGGTCATGGTCCTGGGGCAAGACAACAAAACAGTACACGTGATGCGGCTAGTTCCCATCACAGAAAAATTGACATGCCTGGGTTAGGTAAGATGACAAGATGTGGGTATGTTGGCCAGAGAGTACAAGAGCTAGTGGTAAAGGGACAAAGACCATGAGGAAGACCTAGAAAATGGTAGTTTGAGAGGGCAAAGGAAAGCTTGAAGAATGCTGGTGTCAAATGGGACAACACACTCAACAAGAACTCTGAGAGGAAGAACAAGAGCTGCTGACCTTGCTTGATGGGACAAAGAGAAGGCAAAGCAGAAAGGCAAGCTGGTACCACACTCATTATGCACATCAGGTTAGCTGCGAGGACTGGTTGAGTTGAACTACAGGAATTTGATTCACTCTGTAAAGTAAGTTACAGTAATAGGCTAAATTTTGGTCACACTGAAATACTGACATCAGTGGAGCCAGGCTTGGCCCATAAAAAGCAAACAAGACAGTGAATTGGAGTAAAAATAGCAAGGTGTGCCACTGGCTGCTGGGGAAACACGCTGATTAAAAAAAACCGTGGGTGACGTCTGGTGCCAGAAAAGGGATTGGAGTAAGAAATGATCACAGTGCGCCAAGGAGGTTGCGGAATGTGACTGTGTCGGGCCAATATGAGTTCAAGCAGCCAAGAGAATAATCCCTGAAATCAGAGTTTTATCAAAGCAACATAGATTTAAGGTTAACTGTCAAAACCCACAAAAACTGAAAGACATATAGGTGTGTTTAAAATGATCATATTTACACTACCAAGGACATACCTTGTATAATAATATTTGTCTCTAGCACCTTCAGTCAGTGTAAATTGAGTGTTTTTATTTTTAAGTTACCACTCCATGTAAACTTGTATAATAGTCTAATGGATATGAACACTTGTTAGGTTTTTTTTTCTCTTTCACAAAAATCTGCTGAGGTGCAGTAGGGACCGCAATGGGGTCATGGTATACGAGATGAATTACAGCAGTTTCCCCTCCCCCCATTTAATTTTAGAAATCTAGTCATCATGCCTCAGAACCTTAATCTCTCTCGTGTGTTTTATGCAAACGGCCTGGCTTACTGCAGAGTTTTATTTGCTTTGGGCGTTGCATTTGCTTTTCTAGAATTAAGGAATGTGACATTATAAAATGCCCAGTTTATTTCACAACACACTGTTCTCTGACACTGCTGCTGTCAGTAGAAACCTGCAGCCTGATGTGATGGGAAATATCAGGATTCTGCAGAAGAGGCGAATATAACTGTAGTTTATTTTAAAAGAAAACCCCAAAACATACCAAAGCCTCCTACGTCCTGCTGAGTAAAGGCATTAGCAAACCCTGACATGTCATCTTGAACATAATTGATACACCTGATAGTTACTGCTGTATTGTGCACTTGATCTGTTTGATGAATTGAGAAATGTGTATATCTTGCCATTCTGTGTACTTAGGTGTGACATTTTAAATATTTAGTTTAGTGGAATAGTGATAAGCCTCCCCTAATGGATGCATTTTGCTGTCTTTGCTAGAAACCACAATTCCAATTTGTGCAAAAGATATCGGTGACGATTTGAGAAAAGAGTTGGCTTTTCTTTCTGGTGAGTATAGTAAATGTTTCCATGTTTTCTGGGCAAAGTAATTCAATTCTCTGCATGAACTTATGTGCTGTTTGGCAAAAGGACACGATACGTAGGAGATTATTCAACAGGTAATCTCCAGTGCTACAAGAAAAATTGTTAATAAAACATTGCAGCAGTTTGAAAAATAGTCTTAGGTTTCTTTCTCAAGCTGTGGTACAAATTATTTCTGCTTTTTATCCGTTTAGAGCATTAACAAGTATGCTGCTTTGAAACTGAATATATTTCTCTAGGCCCATTTACAGGCATTAACCCTTTTCCCCCTGACTTCTTTGCTGTGACATCCAAAATTGGCTCACATAAAGATTAAGTGATGCATCTGAGGACAATTTTTTAGAGATGTGATTTTATAATCTTCAGCAACACACGAATGAAATATTTTAAAAACAAAATTTAAACTAAGGTTCCGTCGACTAACACAGTAAATTCAGAAACGGACAGTGTGTACCTGGGGTTGGCAAATGCCTGTTAAATGGTTTCATTACCACTGGAATGGCTCTCTCACAGCATCAGTGTTCTGCTAACAGGTCTGGTAGACCTTTTCGCGTTTAAGTGAACTAGATTCTCCCCCAGGGAAGCAGAGCCACAGAACAGGGATAGGGAGAAGCAGGTGGGTGAACATTAAGATCCAGTGGTGCCCCAAATACCTCTGTGTATTTTGCATATGGGTAAGGATGGTTCTGCTTCCCGAGGAAAGTTCCTACCTGAAGATAGGTGCTATGGAAAGCAGTATCCCTAATGTCCCATTTTCAGAAGTGACTTTTGGGTTTGTTGACACTGGAATCATAGAATCATAGAATACTAGGACTGGAAGGGACCTCAAGAGGTCATCGAGTCCAGTCCTCTGCCCTCATGGCAGGACCAAGTACTGACTAGACCATCCCTGATAGACATTTATCTAACCTGCTCTTAAATATCTCCAGAGATGGGGATTCCACAACCTCCCTGGGCAATTTATTCCAGTGTTTAACTACCTTGACAGTTAGGGACTTTTTCCTAATGTCCAACCTAAACCTCCCTTGCTGCAGTTTAAGCCCATTGCTTCTTGTTCTATCCTCAGAGGCCAAGATGAACATGTTTTCTCCCTCCTCCTTCCTGTGACACCCTTTTAGAAACCTGAAAATGGCTATCATGTCCCCCCTCAATCTTCTCTTTTCCAAACTAAACAAACCCAATTCTTTCAGCCTTCCTTCATAGGTCATGTTTTCTAGACCTTTAATCATTCTTGTTGCTCTTCTCTGGACCCTCTCCTATTTCTCCACATCTTTCTTGAAATGCGGTGCCCAGAACTGGACACAATACTCCAACTGAGGCCTAACCAGTGCAGAGTAGAGCGGAAGAATGACTTCTCGTATCTTGCTCACAACACACCTGTTAATGCATCCCAGAATCATGTTTGCTTTTTTTGCAACAGCATCACACTGTTGACTCATATTTAACTTGTGGTCCACTATAATCCCTAGATCCCTTTCTGCCATACTCCTTCCTAGATAGTCACTTCCCATTCTGTAGGTGTGAAACGGATTGTTCCTTCCTAAGTGGAGCACTTCGCATTTCTCTTTATTAAACTTCATCCTGTTTACCTCAGACCATTTCTCCAATTTGTCCAGATCATTTTGACCTGGGTTAGCTGTCTCCGGTTTATGCGGCTTGGGCTGCTGGCTTAAAAGTTGCAGATTCAGGCTTGAACCTGGGACCCTTTTCCTCCCTCGGAGAATCCCAGAGTTTGGGCTTCAGTCTGGGCCTTAATGGCTGTACAGCAATTTTTCAGCTCCACAGCCCACGTTCTGCAAGCCCAAGCCAGCTTACCCAGTTGTGGGTGGCAAATTCCAGCCACAGGTGTTGAATTGCTGAGTAGGGATACCCTTAGAAAACAAATGCTCAGAAGTACCTCAAGGCTAGACTATTAAGGTAATTACGGTAATTAGGTGCCTACTGAGATTTTCAAAAGCAAGTAGGCTCTTATCTGCATCTTTAGGCACACAGGTGCCTGTAAAAACTAGATGCAAAGTGTTTTAGGAGCCCAACTCTCCTTGGCTCTCAGTGAGGTATAGGCTCCCAAGTGTCACCTTCTGAAAATAGGATCCAGGGCCTTTTGAAAATTGCACCCAAGAATGGATTAGAAAATATTGTCTTCCTGCAGAAAGTTAGTAAATTCTGTCCTTGTGTAGGCAGCTCATCATTTTCCCTAGTCCAGGAGTGAAGGACACCATGCCCTGGTCAGCCCCTTTTCCTCAGGGCTTTGTTCATTGGGGGGAACCCACCATCTTTCGCAAAAACCCAAGAATAAATATTGAACACAGATCCAACTCTTTCTTTGATGCAGGCTCTCCCTGCTTCCAGCAGGCCTCCCCCATCCTGCCTTGGAGTCACCCTGGCTCATGGTCTCCCACAGGAACCAGCCTGCTTACTGTAGCTCTTCACCTTGACTGAGCACTTTACCTAACCACTGGCTTGGATTATCCCCTCTACCTGGCCCATGCACCTAGCCTTCAAAGGGGTGTGAAACAGTGCTGGCTGGCCTCTGGCCTTCCGAAGGGCAGACCTCCTCCCACCACCTCTCCCCATTACACCCTGCTCTGCTGAATTCCACAGAATGGTTCCCAAACCCAATGGAAGGTGTATGACTTTCTCTTCAATGCACACACGGAGCTTTAGGATTGGGCCACCCAAGATTTTCTCTCTCATGCTTCCGCATAGCAGGACAGAACTATTTGTTCTCACCAGCTGGGGTCAGGGACAACCTGTCGGCATTGTAGTGAGCAGACGCCCTTACGACAAAATCCTGTCCAGCGTTGCACAAGTGCAGTGATGAAATAGGGGGAGAAACGATCCCAAGATTCTCTCTTTTCCCCATCCCCACAGTGCATTGGGCAGGAGTTTCCAAGGGCAGGCTCATGACATTGAGGCCCAGCAAGTCCCCTGGCACCCATGAATGATACCAATTGTAGGCAACAGAGGCTAAGATGAGCAGCAACAAATGTTGCATAGTGTTTCTTCAGATCCTCCATGGCCCAAATTAGCCTGCCCAATATCTGTAGGGTGTGTCTGGGACCTTTAGGCTGTGTCTAGACTGCAGGGTTTTTTCGAAAAAAAGTAGCCTTTTTTCGAAAAAACTTCACCTGTGTCTAGACTACAGCCGCGTTCTTTCAAAATTAAATCGAAAGAACGCGGCTTTTCTTTCGATGGCGGTACTCCTCATTTCACGAGGAAGAACGCCTTTTTTCGAAAGTGCTCTTTCGAAAAAAGGCGTTCTTGAATGCAAACAGGGCTTTTTCGAAAGAGAGCATCCAGACTACCTGGGTGCTCTCTTTCGAAAAAGTGGATCACTTTTTCGAAAGAAGAGACTGCAGTCTTCTTTTTCGAAAGAAGCTTTTTCAAAAGTATCTTTCAAAAAAGCCTCTTTCGAAAGAGGCTTGCAGTCTAGACATAGCCTTAGTATGGGCAGAACCTGCTTTACTTTCTCCTGCCCCATCTACAAAGCTCCAAAGGGTAGGATTTTGCCGTTGGTCTGTAAAGACATGTCTATGCTACAGAGTTATTTCAAAATAGCTCCCCTTATTTCGAAATAACAAGGTGAGCGTCCACACAGCAAGCCCGTTATTTTGAAATAATTTTGAAATAACGGGCTTGCTGTAGTGAAATAATAACCCCTCATTCTATGAGGAATAATGCCTATTTTGAAATTGGGTTAGTGTGGATGCTCAGCTGCTGTTATTTTAAATAACTACTTCCCAGATTCATTCAAAGTAATTACTCCCCAGTGCTTCCTGGGACACTAAGTTGAGGTAGAACATCCACATTAAGGGAACCTGCCTCAGACTACTTTCAAGGCTTCTCTGTCGTGTGGATGTGCTATTTCGAAATAGTTAATTTGGAAGTTATTGTTTCAAAATAACTTTGTAGTGTAGACATAGCCTAAATGTTGAAGAACGTGGATTACTTATGAGGTGCCTCCTGGACCAGTTGTGTGTTTTTGTTTCAAATTGTGCATGTGGGGGACTTTTACAGCTGGGCGTGGCTTCTAGACAAACGATACAGAGAAGCACTGTGTTCTGTCACTTGTAGGTGGCCGAGGGAAAGATAATGGTTGGATCATCACATTTCCTGAAAACTCCCATTTCAATGAAGCATCGGAGGAGGTCCTGAGGAAAATCTTAACTTACTTAACTGCGGTCCCAAGGTATGGTGCTGCCTTCCAGCTTTGGTGTTGTGATGGCAAAGGCGCCAACTGGATGTGGTGTCGGGCATGGGAGTTGTAGGACAATGCTGTGAATAGAGCTAGCAAAGGACGAAAGGCTTGGGGTGTTGCTCCAGAATGTTCCGGTAGTATTTCTTATACCAGTGACTACGTAATACAAAGAAGAGTTTTGCTGGTTTCATAAATCTCGCTGATGACCATATTAATTCATGAAATCGCTTGGCTTAACCTTCGATAGGTGTCAGCACTTGGAAATGATTTGCCCCGAAAAGTCATTTGGGTCATATTTGCACGTGTAAGTGGAGTGTGTGTTAATTTGGAAAAAGACAGATACATGCTGAGAAGTAAAATAATGAAAGGAACACAGCAGTGTGGTTTAGTATAGGTTGTACCTCCTGGAGCCAGCACCCTTGGGGCCTGACTGGTCTCAAACCAGGGAATCTGCTGTATCCAGGGAGTCAATGCTGGTGAATGCTGCAGGGCTCTGTTCTGGTGGCAGCAGAGGAGCTGGCATTGACTAAGTGCAGTCTGGGAGTGGGGGCACTTGGGGGAAGAGAGGAAGTGGCTGCAGAGCCCCAGGATTGCAGTCCCGTGGAAGCTTATGGCCACCAGACTGCACTCCCAGCTGAGCGGGATACTGGGTGATGCTTACCGGGTAACTGATTAACCAGTTACCCAATCATATCCCTAACTAGAATACTATTCAGTTATCTATTTAGGTTGGATTGTGAAAGGAATTTGAGGAAGTTCTTAGGCTCCGTTGCAAATTCCAGCTCCAGAGAAATGTGGATTTGCAAGGAATTTTCCAAACGGCACACACAGCCCACTCCAGTGCACAATAAAATTCCCAATTAAAGAGGAGCAACTGTGTGTGCTTCTAATGTCAAGCTTGCTGACAAACAATAGTGAGGTAGGGTTACCGAGTTTCTTTCTGGAACCAACTATAGAAAATAGATTCAAATGGAATGTTAGTGTTTCTGAAAGGTGCCACAGAGGTATTGTGTTTTCGGTATTTATGATAACTTTGGGGGGTTTTTTCTGGGTCTTAAATGGTTTGCTCTCAAAATGTTACCTAGCTACCTGGTATTTTCTTTTCTTGTAGTCAACATGAATCTGACACACAGTTTATCCTGATCCTGGACCGAAGATTGGATACATGGACGTCTGTCAAAATGACTCTCCAAAGAATAGCAGTGAGCCTTTTTTATTGTTAAATGTTTTGTTAAGGTAGTGAGTCGTCAGATACGTTCTTTCAGATTTTGAAAACACCAGTAGCCCAGAGCTGTGAGCTCTCTGTTAAAGCATGTCTATGGTCTTTTCACCACAGTAAATGCAGAGATTATGTCCATAATTTGTATGTGTATTTTAGCTCTTTGGGCATCCGATTGATCACTTGCCTATGTTCGTGCAAGTTAGTCTCACAGCTGTGTACGCATTTTTGTTCCCTGCTCTGGGCATTAAGTTTAGCTAATATATCTCCACATAGTCTGTGTGTCTAGAGGTTCTGATTTTTCGCAGCAGGTGATTATTTTACCCTTAACTGGGCAACATTTTATTTACTGCAAAATAGCCTTCAATACAATTCTTCCTTAATTTTTAGACAGAAAAAAATGTAAAAAACTATTTTGAAGGTTTTGTGTGTGCGCACACATATGTAGCTGTAGATTGTATCCAAAGCGGTACAGGGATTGGGGTCCAATGCTCACAGTAGATGCATCTCTTAGTCCTCCATGGATCACCCTCAGAAACAACTACAGGTTGACTCTCTGTGGTCTGGGACTCTCTGGTCTGGCAGGACCACGGATGTTGCTGGACCAAAGAGCTCCAGCCCCAGCCACTGGAGGGCCAGTGGCCTGGGAGCAGGAAGTCCAGCCAGCGGTCAGTACTGGCAACTGGAGCAGGGCTGGGTGCGGAGCCCTGCCAGCCAAGAGTGGAGCTCCACTGACGGAAGGCGCGGAACCATCCAGGGGGCAGGGAAACCTCTTCAGGCAGGATGTGGAGCCACAGCCAGCCAGGGTCAGGAAGCCCCACTGGCCAGTGTGGGGTGGCAGCTGAGAGTGGAGCCCTGTCTCCAGCCCAGGGCAGTGCAGTGGCTGAGCCAGTAGCCAGGGTGGGTTCCCGGGACAGCCCAAAGCCTGATCTCCCCTCATCCAGCAAACTCCCTTCTTCAGGACCATTCAGGTCCCCAGGGTACCGGAGCAGGGAGGTCCAACCTGAACTGAGAATATCTAGTGACGGACATATTCTGTTCTGGGTGCTTTCTGGTTCTTCTAGATGACTTGCACTGCTCTCTGTGGGTGTGCAGAGACCTACTATCCAGCTAAGATCCAGATCTCCTTCTCTGCTTTTCTCCTTCTCGGCAGAAACAAAGGAAACCGTTGCCATATAAAGCACGTGGGTACAGATAGATGTATATAAAATGTCTCTCTTAATTAACTAGAGCAGATGCACCATCAGATGCTGAACAAATCTCTCAAGTAACACTCCCCCCACACTAGTCAACAGTACAGAGTCTTTTGCAATATTTAAATGCGGTCTAAAAGTGTTACACTGGTATATATATATAAAAATCACTTTACTAATGAATGGAGGCTGTACGAAAGAGCTGGCTGTGAAAGCCCAGATCTACATTGACTTTGGTACAGTGGAAGGTGAAAAGAAATATTCTGAAAATGTCACGGTCGTCATCCTCGTCTCCTTCGGTAACACAAATAAGCACTTCAGAGGAAGAGTTGGATACACACACCCAGCTGCTGGAGAATGAGGCCAAGAGAGTTTATCGTGAACAGGATATAAGTTAGCCACATGGTACAGAAATCTTGTTTGGCTCGCTGATGTCCCATCAGTCAGATCTAAAGCATTAACTGGCTGTTGCTGAATGTGGCATTAAGGATATTTTTTTGATAGGCATGCAGTGGTGGTAAATATATTTTTGAGTAGTTAAAATAAGTCATGTCTGTCAGGACTGAGTCCTACTGTCCTGCATTTTGCTTCAACTACCCCAGACTAACACGGCTACATTTCTATCACTGTCTTCATGCAGGCAGTGCCTGCATTTTGCATTGATCCCAATGGGAGCATTTTCTGATTCGGCACTGGCCCTGGAATAGCATTTTCCATTTAAATTGTCTGAAACCATTTTTTTAGAATGAGCTCGAATACAAGCTTATCATGAGTTAGCTTTCATAAAAGTGTCTGCCCTTTACATTTTGTTTTAGATGGTACTTCCACATGTGATTACACGAGATATGCTCAGAGTGTTTCTTTCTGCGGCTAAAGCCGGATGTGGTTTTCTCACTGTATATCTGAGCAGTGTCATGTGAAAACAATACAGAGGCACCCCCTGCAGCTAAGAATGAAAGACAGAAAAATCTGTGCACCTAAAGTGCTAAGACTTGGATGTCCTGCCTGTAGAAAGACTGTAGTAGAATCAGCATGGTAGCCGTTTTAAGCCTGTAACTTTAAAAACAACTTTTTTAAAAAAATGAGTAGTCCTGTGGCACCTTAGAGACTAACAAATATATATATATAGCATCATGAACTTTTGTGGACAAAACCCACTTCCTCAGATGAGATGATCTTGAGTGGGGGGAGAAAAAGGGGGAGACCCTCAGTATAAGAAGAGAGAAAAGAAAAAAAATCACCTGTGAATTGTAGTCCTGGTGCTAATGAGGATAACCAGCCCCACATGCCACAGGACTGCTTTTTTTTTTTAAGTTGATTTTTTAGTAGGATCAGACTGTAAGATGCCTCTGACAGGTCCATAAAGTAGCAAATTAACTAGTTTTACAATGACGCTTGATAAGTTTATGAATGTGACTGTGACAGGGTTGTCTGTGGTAGCAGGGATCCCCAAGGCCCACACCAGCATTATAGTCTTGTATTCCTATGCAATACTTTACTCCCCTTTGGGAGTGTGTGTTGAAATGGGGGAGGGAGAAGAGAAGGGAGAGTAGAGACTTGAATTATTGTTCAAATAATCAGTCATAGTATTTGGGCTTGCCCATAATTTGGATTCAGACATTTTCTGTTCTCTGAGATGATGAAGTAAATAATGATCAGATGAGCTGAATTCAAAAGTCAATAAGGCCTAATTTTTATTAAATGTGCATGTGCAAAAATCTGGCTTCAATTGCAGATCAGCCCAGGTATAGAGTGGTGACGTGGTGGAGGTCATATCTTTTACTGGACCAATGTCTGTGGGTGAGAGAGAGAGGCCTTCCAGTTTAGTAGCAGTGGCGGTGGGCATAATAGGGAAGGCAGTGCATTCTCAGATTGTCAGCCTGGCCTCACCCAGACTGTCCCCCCAGAATGCCTACTGTAGGTGTACTGGGGCGGAGTGCTGCTGCCCCCAAGCGCCCGCCCTCCACGTGCTCCAGGACAGGGAAGGCTGGGACTGCAGGTGCGTGCCCTCCCCATGCTCTGGGGCTGGAGTCTCGCCCATGGGGGCGGGCCTAGCCCAGCCCTATCTTTCCCCCGCCCCCATGCTGAGTGACCTGAGGCAGAGCTCTGTGTAGGGCCCAAAGCTTGTCTCCCCCACAGAAGCAGCTGGCCCAGTAAAGGTGGCATCTCAGCCAGGTCCCCCCTGCATTTGCAGACATGGGCCACGCCCGTACACACCTGAGCCATCCAGTTAGAAAGCCAGGCCCGCCCTGGCAGTCCTAGGGCTTAGCGTTGTGCGGTGCTTCTTGGGCTTTCTCCAGCCCTCCCGAGAAGCGGATCCTGCCCCCCCCTCCCCCCATGCCGGGCTCTTGCGGGGGGGAGCGGAGATGGCCGAGGGGAGCTCCGCCGCAGGCATGCGGAGGCTCCGGAGGAATGCGGTAAGCGCTCCCTGCCTGCAGTCCTAGCGCACCGCCCTGCGCTTGCATGCGGCCAGCTCCCTGCGCCGTGCCTGGCTGGCCCGAAAGCGCCAGGGGCATGGGAACACCGTCAGGTGATTTCCCTCCCCGAAGTATTTTTAGCAGCGGCGCCTGGAGCAGGAGGCTGCTGAAATCTCTCCTGCAGCGTCGCCCTGCGCGCTGAGAGGAACTGAGAATGAGCGGTGGTAGCCAGCGATTCTGTATGTGCGCCGGGCACTGCGCGTCCCTGGGAGAAAGGCCTTCTGGAGAACATGCCATCCTGCGGGTGGACCAGCCGCTGTGCAAGGAGCAGCGTGTGCGGTTAGCTGGGCAAGCCAGCTCAGAGAGTAAACTAAAGCTACCCAAGCAGGGGGTAGGGTGGTGAGCTTCAGCAGCACTAGAAGCTCCAGCAGTCTCCTGAGGTTGTTTGACTTTGCTCTCCAAGGAGAGAAGAAAGTCACTAACTTTGGAGTCTGCATATTGATCCGTTCTCTGTGTCCAGGATCAAACTTATTCCTGGGTTTTTCTTTCCCCTTGGCCTGGTCTCTCTTCCTGGAAGTCCCAGGAAAGGGTTATCTGTTGTGTGGGAAAATGGACTTTTAAATGTAATTCCTAGAAAAGATGTTAAATGCTTGTAGAGCATAAAATGAAGTAAGTAGAGAATAGCCATGTTTCTTCCATCCTATGTGACCTGTGATGTCTTAATGTGATCACAAACCAACGTATGTTGAGGGTAATAAGATGCTTCACTTGTTAAAAGTGGTTTGCTGGATTGCCCCTTATGGGCATACCTTTTTATGTCCCTAGAACGTGAAGATCATTTTTTTTTCAAAACACCAATTGTTTTGCTAGTAAACTGGAAAACGCTATTAGAATATTAGCAGCTGGTTGATAATTTAAATTGTGCATGTAACTTTAAGTTCTTTTCTAACATATTATAGAGAACATTAGAGGCTGGGGAGAAGAGTTAAATATGAAGGGTATTTGAGTCTTTTTTGCCAGGTTTCATCAAGCAACTATGATTCTCTTTGGTGCAATAAATGGTAGGATAGGAAGTTGGGTTGGGAGAAGACATTTCCTTTTTGGAACATAGGGTGTGAAAGTTCCTGATCTGTTCTTTGTAGCATGACACATTTTCTTGCCTTAGCTAATATTAGAGTTCAGCTCACCTCCATTAAGGTACAGAGAAGTTCAATGATTGTACAGGGCTAGGAATTGGTTTTAGTCCTGTCAGAAATGTAAACTTTGAATAATTATTAAACAGTTTGATTTTTAAGTTTTTTCTTTATTTTTATGTATCATTTTCCCCCTTTGGTTAATATGATACCTTTTGGCTGGGAGCACACTTAAAGCAA